AAAATTTTGTACACAACTTGAAAGCTCATATAATGATATACACGATGATTATCTAGAATTAATTGAAATTAAACGTAAATTTGACAAGCCAATCTCCATCAATAAAAAACTACTAAACATATGACATTAGATAAAATTCAAGAGCTTGAAGATATTCATGCTCAAATAATATCACACTATTCAAAAAAAATAGTTAGTAGCCATGATAGTGACTAATTATCTTGAAATCGTTAAATAGCACTTGACATATTTCAATGCTCGAGAAAACTTTTATATTTCTTAGAACAATATAGTATTTATGAACAGCGAAAATAGATTTTTTGTCAATAGTTATTATGAATAAGTGGATGAACCGATTAGATTGCGTGAATTTTCCGAACAAAATATGAAGGATCGTTTGAGATTATCTCGCAAATTGTCTTGCCAGGTAGTATTCTAACTAACAGAGCCATCTCAACTGGTTGAAACCATATCAAAATACACAAGAGATATCCTACATCTAAATAGAAACTTTGAATGCATATCTGTTGTAAATTGCATGAAGATAAACATAGGCTAACTATAAATATAAGAATCAATATTCATTCGGTCATAAATTATTATTGGATTTGACCTACTTGTTAGTGTTGTTCTCACTGTCCTAATTTTAGTTTTTCTACTCTGAAAATAATAAAGGAGTTTTGCAGAACCTTTTAAAGACCTAAAAGATTCTTCAAACCTTCTTTATTCTTTTTTCAGAGCACCCCCATACACCTCACATTCTCGATCCAATCGGGATCGTCTTGCCCATATATAGTCACTCGACAAAACAAAAAAACGAGTAATTAAATCGATAATTCATATTCGAAGAAGGAAGTGCTGATCATACTAGATAAAGGCAATAGCAGCTGTTTGCTCAGTCAAAGTGCATATTTGAAAAGAGGGGGTGAGTTCTTCTGTTCCTCTAATCCATGTGTTTATATTTCACTCAGTCGGTATATTTTCTATTAATTTACTTCTTCCGTCAGTTGTAAAACATGAACGTTGGCCAACTTAAATTATAACTTTTATTGAAAAATTTATTTTTGTCTCTCCGTCAATCTATGAAAATCTGAAATCTTTTAACTAAGTTATTAACAAACAATATCAAAAATATACGATGTAGTACGATTACAAAAAAAGTATCAAAATCTATGAATGACATTGAATGTTTATAGACGTATATAATGACAAAAACTATGCTTTTATATCTAAATAGACTGTTTGATTCGGAATAGTAAATAGAAAATGACAGTAATATTTGAAGAAGAATTTAATCATTAACCAGGATGGCTTAATATTTACTCGTCGTTGATCGTTGAATGCTTCTTTTTCTTGCTTATTCTGTGGTGATGATGTCTTGAATTGAAGAACTTCTTCATCGTCAGTTGCCGGTCCATAAATACTTTTTACAACCATAGTCATAAATATAATAAAAAATTGTTGTAAAAAATTAATTCGATGAATAAATGTTTTGATACGAGTAGTTAAATTTTTTTCATTTTTTTTCGTTTGTATTCGATGTTTATCAATTATTTTTTCGAGATAACTATCAATATTTGGATATTTTGGATCATAATTTCGTCGAATTCGTTCATGATAATCGAAAATAATTCGAAAACGACGATCTTCATTGAAATAGGGTATCCATTTGAGTATTTTGACAAGCGAACAAAATGTTAAATCAGCTGCCGTGAATTGTTTACCAACGAGATAATCATTTGCACGTAAATGATTTCCAATATCTAGAAGAATCTGTTCTATTTTCTCCTTTATTTGTTCTTCACGTATTCGATGAAGTCGAAAACGAGCAATCATAACACATGCGATGAGTGGACTAATCAAACGTGAACGAATATCATCTGGATTATTTGCCCATGAAAACTCTTCGCCAAATAGAAGTGACAATACACTTGACTTCTCTTTGAGTATTTGAACATAGCCAATGCGACGTATGTAAAGGCCTAATTCGGAATCAAGACGTAAACATGTATCAATAACCTGTTGGTATTCTTCCGATGATGATGATGGAAAAAGTGATATAGACGATTGAGGATATTGTGCATCCAAATAGAGTAAAATTGGTGTTGAATCACATTGAAATGTATTACCATCTTTATTATTTGGATCTTCAAGTATTGGCATTAGTTTTCGCATTGTCTTGGGCGCTCGTTCTAAACCTTTTGTTTTTCCAAATGCATTAAAATTTACAATTTCGTATGGAAGTTCTTTCAAATCCAATGCCCAACGAACCTTGTCACAGTAATGAGACCATGGTATTTGATAGAGACGAAGACGTTCGATCATCTTATAAACAATAATTTCTAAAAAAGCATAAGAGAAAACTTCAATAGATATGGAAAAATATATCGAAGAGTAGTTTATCGATATGAACCCACTAGAGTACAATGTGTCACGACGCGCTATCATGGAGGTCGTTTTATTGGACACTGTGACCAAACCAGAACTTAAAAAGCTCTATAGAGGGCGTACAGAGATGACAATAAGAACGCAGGAAAACCAGAATTCTCTTTATTACATTGTTTGTTAGCATTTGTCACCGATGCCTATCCATAAAGAATCTGAAAGCATATCAATGGTAAAGACTGACCGATCGAAAGCTGCTTCTAAGTGAGAAAATATTCACAAAAAAAAATATTATTAATTCTATTTGTAGAACGAAGGTTCTCAAAACGTTTTCGAGAGAGTAAGGTATACACATACCGATGTAGTGACAAAAATTCTGCAAATTTTTAGAATGGGTATGGGTGTAGATCTATATTCACATCCACACAAAGACGATACTGTGGGAGGTAGGACTTGAACATGATGTTAATTCTGAAGAAACGAGCATGTCGCTATTTCATCAATCCTTCACTGTGCTCTTCTTTCCGTGAAAGATCATCAGCATCCATGAAAGAATCAAATTTATAAAAGTCAATTTTTTATTGTTTTATGAAATTTTAAATAATCTTCAATTGTTAAAACAATATTTGAGAAAACATAATCAACATAAATGTTTGCTTTGTTTTCTGCAAGTCGATCAATACGAATCATACAATCTATAATCATTTATTCATTTATTAATTCATCATTAGGATATTTATTTTCAGGTACATCACAGTAGCAATTTTATGTAAAAGAAAAAAATAATTTACTTGGATAAATAAATCATCCGAGATTAATTGCATATCCTAGTTATAACTGATATCAATTTAGGATCATAATGAGTAAATAAATCATTATTTACTTCCTTTTTTTAATTTCGATCATTTAAGTTGCATATTGTCACGAAATAGTCAATGTTTTAAAGCAAAATTAGTATATAATTTAAAATAAAACCATTCAATTGTTAATGTAATCAAGAATTTCAGCGTTGTGATGTACTCTTAAACAAGAGTCACCATTGACCAAATCTTTCTTTATAATTACGTAACCGTTGTCTATGCCATATGAAATAAACTGACAAAAATTTTACAGTATCATAAAACTGTGACTGCAGGACGCAACTTGATCAAACTGTTAATTTCCAAAACGGGGACAATTGTTTCAATTGTGTTCTAACTGCATCATCCAAGTTATTTATTCAGTACGGTACATAAACCATTACGATAATTAAAAATCGCTGAGGTTTATTAAGATGTAAAAGCCAAATTCAATATCAATCTTTTAAATATGAAAGAAATCGAAACTGAATACAGAGTTAAAAAGAAAACGAATCTATGATGTATCCAGTGGTAAAGCCAGGATGTCGGGCCAAGAAGTGTTTGATCATCCTGACTCTACCACTAGATGTATCATCACTTATACAATGATCTTTCTGTTCACTTCTTTCGGATATTTCTTGTTATATGATTTACGAGATTAACACAGTTAATATAGTATGCTTCGCACTTTTATGTTTTGCTTGTTTTTAAGATATTTCTGGTGTTGATCTTGATGTACAACTAGACATTTTGCTTCTTCATTCACAAATTTTGTTTACAGGATAGTTGAATGACTATAAGATCGATCAGATATTGGTATAGTTGTTAAAAGGTATAAAATAAATGATACGGTCTTCCTCCTTAGAAATCATGACGAATTTTTCGATTTTCATAAATTTTTACATTATGAAATAATTCATTTATACTTAATATATTCAACTTCTGATAACCTATGAAATCATCAAAAGATTTATAAAACTAATTAATATAACCTTTTGATGAAAGAATATAAAATATTTCATCATCATAGACAAGACATAAAACATTAGCAGTTATCATTAGTGGTGCAATAACGGAAACATTGATTTCTAATAGTGTTGATAATTTTTTATGAACATTTATACAAATAACTAATGCTTTGTTTAAATTATCTTACTATTCTGTAGACAGACTATCGAGGGAACTATCAGAACTGAAACTCGTCATTTCACAGTTCATAGTATCAATAGTTTTGTCTTCAGCTGGTAGATTCCTAAGATTCAATACAATTCTGTTAAATAAATAGCTGAAGTTTTGTTTGACTTTTATATGTCGAGATTTTTTCTTCAAGTTATTCAGTACATATAAATAGAATTCATAAAATTTTCAATTAATTTAATCTATGACTTTTATTGACTTTGTTTTGAATGAAAAGGAAATAAAAGAATATTTCATACACAAAGAAATTTTTTGTTCACGGAGAAAAAGAAGAAAAAAAATATTTGTACACCGCAAACACGATTAAATATTTAAAAACAAAATGAACAAAGAACTGACTATATCATAAGAGATAAACAAAAAATACAATTGCACACACATTCACATAATCAGAGTGGAGAAAAAAGCAAAAATTTAATTTAATACGTTCAATTTCTTACGGAAGACAAAGAAAAAAAAAAGAACAGATAATAATAATAATAATAATAGTAATGAGATCATGCATATTCAAAAAGAAAAACAACAACAATAATGACTAAATAGTTTCCCGTGAGATTATTATTGCTTATGTCAAGATAATTATTCTAAAGTAGCAAGAGGCCCTTCAAGAAATAATTGACGAACATTTAATAATGCTGATAATTCCAATATCGTTTTATGTACTTGAACATTTTCAAGAAGATCGTTTGATAATTGTGGTTGAGAAGATGGATAAAAACCGGAACCCTAAAGTTTTTGTTAAAGAATAATTTCATGCTATTTTCTTGTGAAAAAAAAATCTTAATTTGTTAGATCAAGTTAATTGATTTCGATTCTGTCATGAGTGTGATTCTCATGATTCACATACTTTCTAATTCAAAATTTAAATATTCTCCGTAAGTGTGAATACATTAAATTCAAGGTAATTTATTGTATCTATGCCTATAAAAATGATATTAAATACTAGAGCCCGTCTTTGATATTAAGGTTTTATCTCATAAATTGAATATATTGCTAACGAATAGATGCAGCGGAAATAACTTCAAGGATAACATTTAAATATGATAAATTAGTTTAATAGTTTAAATCGAATATTGATGATACTTATAAACAATCAAATAGATTACCGTTTTGGAGAGGTCAGCTATACCTTTGTTCTCACTATCAGGTCTCGAAACGAGTCGCCCGACCCGACGATTTTATTCTCTTTTGACATAACTTTTTCTGAAATTTGGCTCATCCTTGAGGGGGGGGGGGGGATAAGGGGACGCTTCTCTATGCTATTCCCTTGGTCATCACTTTTTATAAAAGCCGAAAAATATGGAATAGCTGTCTATTGAGAAAAAAATCTTTGTAAAGGAAGTTTCTTTCGGGCCACTAGTGGCTCGATTTCGAGGCCTGCTTACTACCGCCGGTTTCTATTCGATTTGAATCTTACAGGCTTCTATAAAAATTAATGGTTTATTCTATTCTAATATTATTATGATATTGGCAACAGAAAACAAATAGGATAGGCAAGTCAGTTCGAGAAAATGTCGACCTCTATTAAATATTCTATATTAATGATTTCGAGAAACCCAAAAAAGAAATTGTTTTCTAATTTAAATTACCTTAAATGATCGATGTAAACGAAGAACAGCATAACAAAAAACAAAACGAGCAAGAAATAATCGTAGAAAATCATCACCAAAAAAGTGATAGAATGTACCATCTAGAAAAAAAAACAAACATCATAAATTTAAATTTATATTTGCTAAATTAAGAAAAACAATAATTAATCAAAATCTTACCAACAAGTTTTGATTTCAAGAAAATTCTTATTATTTCAAAAATAATTTTATTCACATTTTCTTGACATAAATTCCATTGTTCACTTGTTAATTCATTTAAATGACAAACAAAACAAAATGCAAATGCTGGTGATGTTAAAAATAATGTAAATAAACTTCCTTTATTTTGATAATCTAAACAAAAAAAACATGTTAGAGGTGGTTTGTCACACGCCATGGAAAGAAGGAAGAATACCTCTGTCTTTCAACTAACTTGGGATATGGAGTGCAGACTAAATTACCTGATACCTTTCATACAACTATGACTAGCTGTAGTTCTGGACAAAAGGTTGGGTTATCTCAGAGTTCTTGTGCTTCCCATACACACTAACTAACCATGAGAGCAAGTGTATATCACAACGTAGTCAGCGTAGATGATCTATACATGGTGTAATCCCATAGCGATTGCTCTAACAGATTTTTAGATAATATGAAAAATAAAATCTATATCTTACCATGAAAAGCTGTTGGTATTTTAACAGGTGAAAGTAATGAAATTAAGGGTTGTCCAAATAAATTTGGTAAATTTTGAAATACAATACTATTATTACTATCAATTATTAAAAATAATGGTTTACGTAAAAATGGATATAAATCTCCTGGAAATATATTATGAATATCTTTAATAGATGTTGCTGTTGTTGTTGTTGTTGTTATTGTTGAAGGTGATTTTTTTCCAAGAGTATTTACTGGTGAATTTGAATTATCATTAATATCATCACGTCGATTATTAGTTTTAACACCACCAAAATCATATGATTGTTCAGTTTTTATTTTCAAATGTGTATCATAACCATCAGCAGAAATATAAAGAAGAAGAACGCCATTTGACGGTAAATCTTTAAAAGCTGATGCTGTAAATGCATAAATTTGACTAAAAGTTGGTTTATAAAGAAGATATTTATGAGGATTTAAACGTTTTGATGAGTCACCATCGTGTAAATTCTAAATTATTTTATAGAAAATTAAGTTTATTAGAAGAATAAAGTGTTATTATATCATACAGATAGAATACTAACGATCAGAATCAATAATGGAAAATAATTTTTATGTATCATTATTATTTCTCATTGTTTTTCTTTTTCATACGAAAACAAACAACATGAGAAATCTTTAATTTAAATGTTTTAAAAATCAAATATCGATTTTTGTATCACAGTGGTGGGGACTCAATTAATCAACTTCTACCTCTGTATATGACTGGTTTAAACTGAACATCTGAAAAGACTCAGGTCAATGTTATTTCTGAATATTTAAAACCTAGAAAATCGCTTCCGAAATCCTCAAAAAAAAAACTAAAACACAACGCAGATTTTCCATTGAAGATTATAACCGCGATCCTTACAAGAATTTCTTTTTGATGATTAGCTGGTGATTGCATTGTTGTTCTATCATCCGATGTTGATGTTAATTCCATTGGTTGTCTTTCAACTGCTTGTAACATTCGATACATATCGATTGTTACTAAAAGCAAAAAATGAATCTTCTCTAGGTTAGTCAATAAACAAAAACAAAACAGTATTCACATTCACTAAATTTTATTTGATCTTGATAATTTCCAATAACAAGAATTTCTTCAAGTGAATATAGTTGAATATTTGATAGAATTTTTTCAGCACCGTTAGGTAATGGTGGTATTAAAGAATTTGTTAAACGATAATGTAATGTTATTGGTGTACGATCAACATTTAATTTATTATCAATATCAATAAATGTTGAAATTTCATTTAAAACAAGTTGCCATTCAAGACTATCATCTGGATCATATGCTTTAACATATTCATCGATTTGACGATTTAATTCACGTACTAATTCACGCATAATTTTTGTTTTTTTTAATAAAAGACAAACAACAATAAATCTTGCATAATAACGTAATTTTTTAACCATTAAATCTGGTTTTTCTTCACGATTTACTTTTGAATAATAGGCACGTGTACGTATAGCTGAATAAAAGGCAAATGCTTCATTTAAATAAGTTGTTTCCGATGTACGAATATAAAAATGATAATAAAGTTGACCAATTTTAGAAGCTATTTCACCTATTTGCCAACGTTTTAAACCAAATTTTTTATCGAGAAGTACTCTAATGAAAAAAAAACAAGAGCAAAATTTTATTAAAAAATAAATGTTTTGATAATTAAATCCTATATATACCGATGTTGTTGTTGAAATTTCCATAATTTAGTATAAACATCAAATGTTCGTCCAAAATATGGTTGCCATTGTTTATGTCCATATTGTGGAAGATCTCTGAGAAAGAAGAAGAAGAATAGAAATTCATTAAAAATCATATCAATAGATTAACAGACTTTACTCATTTTGAGAAGTAAATTATTAGCAAACTTTCTATGAGATTCAAATAGGAAACATAGGAAGATATCTTTTAAAAAATAATAATATATATGAAAAATTTTGTTACGATTAATAAATTATAATTATATAACGTATCTTTATGTTGATTCTAAGAACTAAAGTTCATTACAAATGATAAGATCAATCATCATGAATAAACTTATATTCTTCTTTCAATAGAAAAAAAACGCTTATCAGTGCAGTTCCTTTAAGGCTAAAATATGGGACTCACATATGTTGTTTGACCTCATTATACTAATACAAAGTGCATCAAGTGCAAAAATCTCTAACAAACTATATTTAGTGTTGTTCTATTTTTTGTTTTCCTTGTTAATATTCACCTTCTGTTTTTTTGTAGGACATTTTTCTTAAGTTAAGATTATTATTATTATTCTAATCATTGATTTAATTAGTAAATAAGTAGAGTCCGTCCGATCCGGTCAGGTTTGGAATCATCCCGGCGGGCTTTACAAATAAGCTTATTGTATATATATCCATAGAAGGTCTCAACACACCATTATATATGTCGATAAGCTCAAACATACTGCTATTGTTTATTTCCCGAAGTTATAACTTGATCAGTTCGCCCTTTTTTCTGTTAATCATATGACAACTGTTGCAAATCAATCCATCATTATTCACCATCCTCCATATCTTGAATATCATTTTTCATCTGCACTTACATCATACATTGCACTATTATTCGAATTTCGATGAAAGCTTTGTAATATCTCATTCTTGCTGTTCAACGTCTTTTTCTGTTGTTAAGGCACTATGGAAAAAAGACCCCTGATGCCTGTTATCATCAGTGGCTATAGAAATAGACAAAATGATTGATGATCTCCTCCTCCCATTGCGATGAGAGCTGAAGTTGTAAAATCTCGATTTAAGGCCACCCCCCCCCCTCAAAAAAAGTCAATTTTCGTGAGAACTGTCAAAATTGAGATAAATACATAGGAAAATAGCCCATCGTCTGCTCTTTCAAAATCAATAAAATTTTTTCCTAAAACCTCCATTTTTTCCCGAAACATTTCAGAATTTCAGAGAACCAGTTTTTGAAAAACCAGCGGTTTTTTGAAATATCCAAAAATGTTTTTCGTTTTTTCTCAGTTTAGGCTTTCTGGACCGCGCAATCCATTTTTCTCTGTCCAGGCTCATTCAATATATTTATATATTTTTTTTGTTTGAAAGAGCACGTCAAGATGTAGTGCAGTACAGAGTCTTTTTTTTAAATTAAGCTTGTTTTTTATTATATATACAAACACTTATATAAACAGACCACCATTTTTGGCGCGTTTTTTGAGTCATTGAACTTGTCAGCCCTTTTCTCCGCTTAAAAGATAATAATTTAAAAAAAAGGACTCTGTACTGCACTGCATCTTGAGATGCTCTTTCAAACAAAAAAAAATTTAAATATATTGAATGAGCTTTGACAGAGAAAAATGGATTGCCAAATGAGCTATTTTTGACCCTTGCTTGGTTCATATCTCCGTCAAACATCAGGGTATCGAGCTGAAAATTTTACCACAGCCTCCACACATCAGCCCCAACATATGCTCCAAATTTCAGCCCATTTGAACGTACCTGGGCTGAGATCGATTTTTGAGGGGGGGGGGGGGGTGGCCTTAAAACTTACATTCATTATATTGTTCTTCGAAAAGATATAATAGAAGTTTTACAAAATTATTCCTCTTAATATAAAAATAATCAATATTACCTTAAACCATTAAATAATTGTTTTGATTTTTCAAGTAAATGACTAAATTCTTGTACAATTTTATCTTCATATTCTTGATCATTATTTTCCTTTGAATATTCATGATTACCTGATGAGGCTATTTTATCAGTTGAAGTTAAACTTATTGCTGCCATATTATCATTATGAATATGTATATACTTTTCTTTGCACAACAACAACAAAAAAATAAAATAAAATCTACAAAACAAACAGATCTTACTAAATAAAAATTCACATTATGTTATTTAGAAACAAAAACAAAAATTAGTATTCAAATGGACGGAAAATTTCGACATAAATTAAAACACATTCTCTTGATTACATATCACAATTAAACAGACGAAATATTTATGCAAACATTTGCATACTAGCAAAATTATAAAATTTATCAAGTTGTATACGAGCATCAGTTGATGATTGACTGATGAAATCTGAAAAGAAAATTTCATTTTTATTTAGAAAACAAAAAATTTACTTTCTTTTTTAAAACTTACGAGGTAAATTTTGATATTTTGTTGCTAATAAATTATTAAGACATTGTTGACAAATCGATATACAATTTTCACCAGCAAATTCAAGTCCAATAACAGGACCTTTAGTAACTAATGGTGTATATGTACGATTACCTCCAAACATTCGTTCAGCACTTGTTTCATCAATTTTATATGATTTGCTTTGTACGAGTACAATCTATTCAAAAAAAGAAGATCGAATACAATATATATGTTAATAGATAAAATCAAATAAAAAAATAAAAAAGAACAAACTTCAGATTGTTTTGTCATTGCAATTAACGCACGAGCACAAGCATCAGCATTTGAATCTTGAAAAAATATTACCAAACAACGCTAGAATAAAACAAAAAAAGAGAATATTTTTACAATTAGATCGTTTAGTTTATCTTAAAAAAATTTTGTAATAGAACTTTTCAATGTCTTATACAAGGTGAAAAATCCCATAGAGTCAGATATTTCATATAGCTAAATGTATAGTTAATTATTTTATCATATTTACACTATTCTTTTGCACGTATCTTAATAACTTCTAAAGATTTCTGGAAAGATATATATCGGAGTCAATATTTCAAAAGTCAAGGTATAGTTGACGTATGAATACTTCTTTTATTGATTTATACTTAACCTTTTGTTACATCATAATGGATTGTTTAAATGTGTCAACTGTCAAGTGGGGAAAAAGTACGACTTCAATAATTTGAAGTATGATACTCTCGACACTTCAAAATATTGAAGTTACACTTTTCCTTCCTTGACAACTATATTTCGTGTTTTACCATATTGATTACGATAAATTTTTCTTGAAACTTTTAGAAATTATTAAAGAAATGTGCAATAGAATAGTGTAAATATGACAAAAATAATTAATATAAATAAATGGATCGAAAAAGACTTTCACAAGAAAAAACGAAAATATGAATCGGAGCAATCTATATGATTACAATCGGGGTATAAATATTAACGAATGATTCTGAAACAGAAACTCAGACATATCGGATTCTTACTTAATAGCCTCATATTTCTAACTAAAGAATGTATATTGATATATAATATACTGTCATAAGATAAATGTTCTATACATTCTTGTTTTGTTCTATTAGCATCTCTGAATTATCCTTGAGCAAAAGTTAACCTTTCTGTAATAGATGCATATGTATCAATTATTTCTATGAGCGCCATCTATTCAATAGATAAATATTAAAGAATAACTGAGATTTACTTTAAAGATTCTGTATCAATTTGATTGTTGAAGGCATATAACATAGTCAGAGATACAAAATAAACAAAAACGTGGACAATAAAAATAAAAGGTGATTGTTATCAGCATTTATCTTAAATAGTGTTTGAAGCAAAGCAGGGTACAATGTAATTCCAGTACTTGCGCTTTTTCATGCTTGGTTTGGTAAGAATGAAAACTTATGCATTATTCGTTGAATGAATAGGTTATCAAAAATATTCAAGCCTTTATTGAGAATAAAGCAACTAACATACCTCAAGAAGTCAATAATGTAAAACTAGAAGCTGAGCTAAAATTGGAATAAAGTAATGTGATAGTGATAAAAAAACATGCATTACTTTTTTTTTTTTGTTCTTTCCTTAAAAATAGTATCTTTGAATAATTTATAATTATGATAAATAAATGTCATGTTCTAATTTTAAATCACTAAAAGTTCTATTAAAAATTTTAATAGAGTTTTTACATCTGTTTTCCAACTTGCTCAAGAGACATTTTCTTTAATCAAAATAAACTTGTTTTTACTTGTCTTATCTTTTTTTTTATTCACCTATTTCTTTCTTTCGTAATATTCAAATTATCGTTCTTCAATATAGAGATGAATGAATTCTATATCCTAATTTTTTAATCTGAATTGAATTATCAGATATATAGAAAAAATTAATTATAAAAGATTATACTTTACTAAATAATTCTTTCATAGTTTTTTTTTATATATTTTTCAATCAGGATCTAGAAATTAGAGTTTTAATTAAAATGATTTGATTGAAATCACCTGAAAATTCATATTTTATTATCGCATGAGTCAACACTTATTTTTATAATCGATCATAAAGATAATCATATCAAATCGATTATATTAATAATGAATAGAATTATTCATTCATGAGAAAATTTATAATAGAACTGATTAAATTCTTACTTCTTCCGTTCGATGACGATATAATTCACCATAAGTATATGGTGTAATACTTGTATCAATATCATCCTTGATATTTAAATGACTACATGATGGATCAGTTGGCACAGGCAAATATTTAAAAACATTTTCATTCTATTATTATAAAAAAAAACGATTTCTTAGTTCTTTTTTTTTTTTTATTGTTATTGAAATTCAAAATTACTTTATCAAGTAATGAATAATTTTTTCCATCAGGAATTGTTGTAAAATCATGAATATGACCCCAATTATTATTCCATGGGTTAATATCAGCTGATTTATATTGATCTATTATATTGAGAGGATAAAAATTGTGTTTGTCTTTGTATGAAAATAAATCTTACCAGCTAATTGTTGATAATTGAATGTTAAACATCCAAATTTAATATTATGTGATGCTTCAATAATTGGTTGACTTGTACATGATAAATAAACATATGTATCACGACAATCTCGAGTACGAAATTGTTGACATATTGTTGCTAATACACAATTTATTGAATCTCGAATGAAAATACTAAAACGAATTATTCTTATTTCTTTTGAAACAAAAAAAAAACAAAGGCTTAAATAATTCACCTTCCGTGAACAGGACCAATAAATATTTTACAATTAATACAATCATCAATTTGTACTTGACCAGTATGATCGAATACATAGACTGTACAATTCTATTTAATGATAAAAATAAAATAAAATAAAAAAAAAAGAATCGATTTCATTTTGAATTACTCACCTCACAGTTTTGAACTAGAAAAGAAAAAAGTAATAAGACATTTATGGATTAAGTGAAGACATATTTCGAATCTTAACTTACTGATAAATTGTTGTCCATTAACTGAGCCTGGTAATCGAAAAATTGTTTGATCTTTCAATTTATCGAGAATGAAATCTTCTTTTCTAATTGCTACTCGATCAGCTCTTTCCCTAAAAAATGATACTAGGAATTGTCATGTAGAATAGATAGAGAACAATTTCTTACCATGAATAGACTGGACGTGGTGGTGGTTCTTCTACAATATCACTAGATCCTGACCAACCCAAGAAAGACGCAATATACGAAAACAGACAACCCATATCTAACAGCAAATTTCTTGGAATGCAAATGGATTTTCTTCCTACTTCTCTTCCTCTTATTTACAAAGCTATAAAGATATTTGCTTGTTCCAGATTTTATCCAAATAGTTCCATTGCTTAACCAACTTATTTCAATGCAGTATGTTGAAAAAAAATCATTTTGCATTGTCTATATTACCATGGAATTGAAAGGAATAAAAATTTTTTTAACAAACATTTGAACATGTCGCAACAAGGTGCTGCATTACAAAATTATAATAATGAATTAGTTAAATGTTCGCTTATGATATAAATTTTTTTCTTTTTCTTATTTATCCATCTGTGCTTTTTATTTTGAATTCTATAGGTATTGAAGATTTATGTTCAAAACGTGATGAATTACAACGTCAAATTTTAATTGAAGAAGAAGATAAACATAAACTTGAAAATGAAATTCGTATAACAAGTGAAAAATTAGTTAAAATTAATGAAAGTTTAGCTAAAAAAATTACTGCAAGAACAGAATTTGATCGAACAATAAGTGAAACTGAAGCAGCATATATGAAAATTCTTGAAAGTTCACAAACATTACTCAATGTAAGATTTATTTAAATTAATTTTAATTTTAATTCTTTTTTTATTTAGGTACTCAAACGAGAATCACATTCACTTCGTACTAAAGTTGATGAATAGATTTATCAAAAAAACAAAAAAAAATTCTATCTATCTGTAATCCACTTTGTATACAATTTGATATAAAATGTTTCTCTTTTCTTTAACTTGATATGTATATTAAAAATAAAAATTAAATTAAGTACAAATATTTGATGATGATGATGATGATGAATAACATGATTCTCCATCTTGTGGTGTTAATTCAAGTTCAGTTAAATTAATACATAAATTATTTATTATATATTCATCAAGTTCAATTAAATAATCATTTGATAATGATATTGTTCGACTAAATAACCATAAAGTAAAATTTTTACATGGATTCGTATGTATATAATTTTCTGATACACAACTATAAATTAATGCATAATGTTCATAATCAGTTTTTTTAAATATAATAAGGTCTATTAAGTGGAATTGTATCATTTATATTAACTTTTTCAAGAATCATTTTTGCACTATTATTTGAAATAATGATCCAAGGTCCAAAAGAAAAACAATCTGTATTTAATGTTCGTAATTTACCATGAACTAGAAGTTTCTGTATTGAAGAATTTTCTAATTGAAATGATTGATAAAAATTTCGCCAAATATCAAATTCATTATGTGATTATTCTGGTAATCATTTTATTTCATATCAAATACCAAGAAATTTATTTAAATTAAAATTTTTTTCAACAATTAAATTTTCAAATGAAGGTTTTATACAATCTAATATACCAAGGACTTTATTCAAAACAATAATATAACCAATAAATAAAAACCACTTCATTCGTAGATTTTCGCAATGTGCAAATAATAAGAACTAGACAATTTATCTCTTTATCTACAGAAATATGCTCGACGATAAGCTCTTTAAAAATAAATCATTGAAAAGGACACAAGCTCATAGAGTATTATGATTTATAGTAATACGAAATTGATATGAATACATTCAATAGTTATTGTAAAAATACTTTTTATATAAATTAGACCTATTTTTCGACTTTTGTTTATCCAGTAATACTTTGTCCTTGTCATAATTGGTGATAATTATTTGATGATACGTAAATATCTCTTGTTATTGACAAAAACATTTTCTTTTTGTTCTCTACCTTGTGTTTTTCTTCTAAAGACGTTCGTTCGATATTGTTTACCACCTACAATGAATGTGTAAAGAATGTAGAATGATTGATAATGACATATTTTGTTTTGTCTGTACTATCGAAAGAGAACACGATTTTTTGATTGTACGTTGTTTTTTTTTAATGTTTTGTAGAAATTATGAGTTATAAAATAATTTTGTCTTACATAGTATCAAATAAACAATATGTCCGATATTCTTCTCTTTAGATTACCGAAAAATTCCAAATCGCTAGCTGTTATCATTACCGAGTTATTGAGTTTATCGCCATCCCTTTTCTAATTCTGGCGTGGACACTAATAACAACTCTCGAGAATATTTTCAGATAAAAAACAAAAAAACAAAAAAATTTCTTTTTGTTATTCATGAATAATTTCAAATAGTCTTATTAGATAAGAGCTATTATATGATTCAAGTTTTAAAAAGTTGTCAACACAATCCCTGTAGGATTAAAATATGAAACACGATGCAGCTGTTGGTATTGTAAACGAGAGGATTAATCCATATATATTTTGGTTTATGAATTCTTACCTACTGTTAATACATGTCGATGATGAAAGATATTAATCGCAAGACATTATAGTGAGTGTGAAAGAAAAGTAAAAGACAATTATCATACTAATACCATTGTAGACTTTGATCTAACAATTATGTGTGTCATGGTAAAGAAGCATTGCTAAGGTGTCTATTATTGTCCCTTAATGATATCTGTCATGTCTATGACGAGCTGTTATTAAGATGTCTATCGCAATTGTGTCAAGCTGTTTCTAACCTATCTATGAAGGTCGACATTTATATCTCTATACTCCAACAGTCGTTTTAGATCGATTGATTTCGAAAAAAACAAACAAACAAAAATCTATAATATCATATAATTCTTCTTTTGAGGCATGCATCCTAGTATCTCTTTGTTATTTAAAAGACGGAATTAACTACAACGGATTAACATAAAGGAAAAAAAAACGAATAAGAAAGAAAAGCTACATACACACACACATACATGAAATACACTGCTATCAAAAGAAGAGAAAGACAAAATGTACGAGATTGCAAACCAACGCATTATATATGATGTGTATCGCACATTTAACATGAATTATAATAAAAGGAAGTATTAGATATACACATATATATATATATATATTATATAATCATATATTAATATTATTATTTACTAGGATTAATATTCTTTTTTAATGTTTCATAGATAGGTGAAAATAATTCTTTATAATTTGTTGGTTCATAAGAAGATTTTGATTGATTATTTTCTGAAAAAACTTCATCATATAATGATACATCATATTCTGGTGGTGAATAAATATTTAATAATACTGATTTATTATTTTCATTAGAATATTTTTCTAATAATTTTCGATAATAATTTAATTCATTCTGTAAAGAATCATTATCATCACGACGTTGTCGTTCAAGTTGTATTATACGGTCTAATAAATAACGTTTATCTTGTTCAGATTGATGAAGTTGATCATTTATTTTAGCACATTCAATTGTCAATGATTTAATACGTGATTTAAGTTCACGAAGATGTGATTTAAATATGGATACGGATGAGTTATCGAATAGATTGGATGATGTGGATGAATTTAACAATGGAGATGAATTTGACGTTGACAATAAACTAAATGAATTTGAACGTTGTCGTTTAGTTGATATTGGTATTGAAAGAATCGATGTTTGACATGGAATATTTGTTTGTTTTGAAATAAAATATGATGAAAATTGTTTTACTCGAAATGTACTATATTCATGTTCAATATCATGATATTGTTTACGTGTTTTTTCATATAGATCAAATAATCTACAAATAAATATATGTTCAAGACAAAATAAAAGATTTCATTAAATTTTGAATTAATCCGAGCAAAAAGTTAGAATTCTAATTTTGACTAGACAAAAATTTTAAATTTTAAGTAGAAGAATTATTTTTTTTGTTTTTATTCGATAATATCTTCTTGTTTTATAAGACTTTTTTCTTAAAAAAAACAAAACTTAAGAAATTAGTATGTTTGTTCTGATTGTTTATAATAAATTTATTCGACATTGTCTATTTGGACAGTTGTTGAATCCAATTCAAACAATTATTTTAATTAGATTGTAATACATACATTCATATTACTACTGTTTCATTGACACGACAGTCACGATTTCAATTTTTCTTTCAATTCTACTTTACTTTTAATATAAAGCACGAAATTTATCTCTAGTCAAATTTTAATTTTTGTTCAGACTAATGTCAACTTTAATTAAATCGAAATTCAGTATCAAAAAACATATATCTATCTACTTACTCTTTGATATGTTGTCGATTTTTTTCATTTTCTCGACGTTGTAATGAAAGTTCTTTTTCAAGATCAAAATTAGCTGCATCGAATAATTCTGTTTGTTTACATTTAGCATCAAGTTGTTCTCGAGTTGAAAGAAATTTTGCATGTAATAACTAAATATAGAAAATAAAATTAATTTTTTTGTTTTTATCTATTTTACTTTTATTTCACATTGTTTATCATCAATATCTTTTTCTAAAATATGAATATAATTTTGTAATTCATGATTACGTTCAAGTAAATATCGACCAAGTTCAGCAGCTAATCGAAGATCTATGAAGATATGAAAATTTTGAAGAAAAAAAAACAAAATAACTTTAATTAATAATATAAAAAAACCTTTTTCATAATCATCTGGATTTGATGTTGTTGCTGTAATTGAAGATGAAGAAAGACGAGTATTATTAAAATCAAGTTCTGCACCATCCATTATTGATAAGAACATTATAGACGCTTGTACATGTTGATTGACCTGAAATAAGTAGTGTTTTCGTGATAGTTCCATTGATGAAGCCATGTATATTTAAAGAGTTCAATGGTATATGTTTTAAAGAAAGGAACAAAAAAAAAAGAAGACGAACAAACACTTTATATTCTTCTATTTCTATACAAAATGAATCGAGGTGAGGGACTAATTAGAACAATGTAGGACAATGACCATCGAGACATGCCCAAAAAACGAGAGAGAGAGAAATTAAAAGTATTTTTCGAACAAACAAGCATATAGTCTATATTCGTTTTCTTACCTGATCTTATATGTACATGACTATAGTATGATGTGCTCTAGTTTACTATGTCTATGAAGCATACAGGCAAATATGTACATTGTTTCTCTCTCTCTCTTTTCTTTTTACTACTTGTCACTATGTGAAAAATATATGATTATATATGTGCGTTATTTCCATCAGCAAGACAAAACGCACTATTGGTGGTAAGAATAACGAAACGGATAAATAGTAGATACAATTTATCGTCATCACTGTCAGTTCGCATCATATATATAAACATCGCAGGAAAAGAAAGGAACGAAGAAAATGAAAGATAGGCTAAACAATCCCTACTATCTATATCGTCGTTTACTTAAAGATTATACAGACTAACAGGCGTACGTATAAACAGCTGCACACGTGTAATATATAAGGTGCATCGAAAAGGTGTGTATATGCTCGAACATAACGTTTCATACAGACAACTGATCAATATCATCTTATTTTTTCTTACATTATCGTTCTCTCTCTCTTTCTCTTTTTTTGTCTTTTTTTTACATAATAACTTTTATAATGATTACTACGACTGCTTTTTTACCAATATACTTTAGTCAATGTATACGTTACTTTTGAATTATAACATCATGATCAGTTGACCTCGAACATTGCATGTGATAAGATGAAGTTATATTTATTTTTATTGTAAGTCATTGTCTTCGATCTCACACTTTTTTTCTTCTCTTATACATATGTAATTGATGAATTATTCGACATTTCTTTGTTATAAGATATATATATATATATATACAATATTATTTATAAGTTTTTCACTGTTGACTTTTCATTTTTTTTTTCTATTCATATATGTTATTATTAGCTTTTGTAAATAAATAGAAATCTGACCATGACTTATTCAAGGAAATAACGAAGATGGGGCATACACAACATCTCATGGATAAGAGTCAACTATTTATAATCAGTACTCGATAAAACAACTTCGTGCTCATTAATTTTATAAGACCACATACTTACTCTAGAGAAATATTTTGTATTTATGAAGGAAGATAGCTAAAAAAACAAATCACATAACTTTACACTTATACTATTCTATTGCCTTGATGTATTTTATCTAAATAGTAAGCTATTTAGATTACAAAATACAAGTTAGTAAATATACGATTTTTTTTTATTGTCAAAAGAAAAGAAGAAAAAATGTCACTTATTCTTGTCATTGCTATAATAATCAAATAACTATCGTATATTTTTACATATTGATTTGTTGTTTTTGCATAAAGAACAGAAAATCAAATATCTATTTTTTTTTTCATATCAAAGAATGAGAGATGAATATTAATAAATGTATTCATATTTTATTGTAATACATCAATCTTTCTAAAAAAAAAAGAAAATTAATCTATTGAAGACAAACAATGCTTAACTTTTCATTTAAGTATAACTACAATGTCTACTATGAAAAAAAGAATTTCGATAACATGCAAATGATAGATATTCAATTCATTGTTGGATACTTGTATATTTCCAGATGAATGTAATATTTATTTTATCATCATATACTTTTTGGTTATATGCATATGGTTTCATTCAAGATATTGCATTGAAAATGTATCATTTTAATTGTAAGAAATAAATTTTTACAGATTCAGTTTGTTTATATGAAGAAATGATCTTTCCATATTATTATTTCCAATTTGTTATAGTTAGTACATATCCAAGGAGAAATTTTTTCTTTAATAATATAGCTAACAAAAATACAAACAGATCATGATAAGAGAGATGAAGGACAGGAAATTAATTATGATTCGTAATAATAACTATATCGTATAGACTAACGGATTGATTACAAGTTATTCTATCTATAAGTTTCTTCTTTTATTGGAATACTAGATGTCGAGATGATTGGATATCATTAAAAGATGAATAATTTAGATCTGTTACGATGTCGAGTTAAATTTCTTATTGTTTATGGATTTTATTTATTTTCTAGTATTAATTTACGTATATAGATAGTTGAAATTTAAGATCAGAGTTATATGAATAATTATGTTGTCAATACTATTACTGTCAAATTATCGAAGATATCATATCTCGAATCAATACTTGTGCTAATTATATTGTTAAAAATCTCTTGAATATCTCTTTGTATGTTGTGCTGGTCAAAAGATCCACTTCAATCAATAATTTATTGACTTTAATACTTGTATCATCAATTTCAATTGATCTAATCGATAATTCTATGTTATCAATATAGATGATTCATTTGATACGAATAGAAAAATTGTCCTTGAAAGTTTTGAATAATATAGATTTTTCTAGAGCAATCTTTACCTTATGATAGAGAATTATTCATAAAACATTCTTCGAAAAGATTTTATGAGATATTTGCACATCATTCAATCATTCTTTTCAAAGGATCAAGCAATACTGACAGAATTAGAATATATTTGACGTATTCAATGTCAATATTAGTTGATATTCTACTCAGATCTGATGAGATATACAACCATCGAGTATGGATAAAAATAACTAAAATGTCATATACAAATGACGGATTACATGCATGTTTAGTTAAAGGTTATTATGATCGTACTTAATGTTTTACTATTTGACTCTCATAGGACTTGATTGATTATATGAAATTATATCGTAGTGAGCAGAAGTTTCTTCTAGTGAAAATATTCATTCGATGTTGTATGATTTGCCAGCATGAATAATCAAATTACTCGTACTAGTATTCGAGTAATTTTATGTATATGTATACTTTTTGTGTGCTCTAACGAGTATTCATTATCGATATTTTTTTTTTTAAATCATTTAGCAAAACATTTATGCATGATAATGTATAAAATGAGATAGAATTAATGTAATACAGAAAACTGATGGAATTTAATAAGAAAATAAGGAAAAAGTGTTATAATAATGTATTCAATTTGTTCTCTATTCTTTTCTGATAGATCATTCATAAAAATTCAATAAATGGTAAATTAAATAAAAAAGAAGAAAAAGAACTTCATGTTTAACTCTCCACTTATTGAATAAGATTAAATATTCTCATTAAAAGTAAAAGGGTAATTCTTTTCATTTCACTTTCTAAATTTACATAAAAATACTCCTCTATATTAAAATACCTTTTTTTTTTCAGATTGACTATAGAAACAAAAGAAATACAATGTGTTACGCGTCGATTGCAATTTGATATTATGCAGACATATGCATTATAAAGTGTCAGAAATGCAAGAGTAAAGAAGAATTTTTTTATATACATAGTTAGATAGAACGTGATGAGCTGACCAAGAATATATGTGTTTTCATTTTTTTGGAATAAGTTTTTAAGAGAAAAATTCCAGTTTTTTCCGATGACCTCCTTTTTTTCAAATGTCAAAACTGTTTATTTCAGATTCAATGTGAAAAAATGAATATAGAAAGATTATTTATAAATAATCTTTCTATATTTATTTTTTCACGCTGAATCTGAAACAAACAGTTTTGACATTTGAAAGAAACAAAAACAATTGACAATTTTTAGTGACCCACAAGTTGACCTATTTTGCGGAGAAAGTAGGTCATCAGGAAAAACTTAAATTTTTCTCCTAAAAACCTATTCGAAAAAAAATGAAAACAAATATATTCTTGGTCAACCCACCATGCTCTATCTAACCATATATTAAAAAATTCTGCTTTAGTCTTAAATTTTCGAATAATTTATTTCGTATAGTGTTTCTCAATTTTCTTAAATAATTTACCGTTCATCTCATTTTACTCATGTAGCTTTACTTTGAATACATAATTGTTTACTATGACTTTATGTTCTAAGAAAAGGAAATTGACGTCTATCCTATATACAAAACTATGAGGATAATTTAATACCTGTAGTTCTCAAACTGGTTATATCTCTCAAATTTTCATTATATGTTTCTTTGTCTTTTGTTGTTAGTTTTATATTCGAATAAAACGGATATTGTACCGGTGCCCGACTCGGATCACATTGGGTTATGAAAAACTCTTTGGATTTCGGAGTGGATCTACAGTCTCAACATTTTCCAGATACAGAAGGCATTTTGAATGTTGTTTCATTTAGAAGTTCTGTAAAGGAGTATGAAAACGCTTAGTAGAAAAAGAAGTCATGCATTGCACGCTCTTTTCTTCTACTTCACCGACTTTTCTTGAGTGACATCAGATAACGATGCGTAGCGAGTGCACTGTCTATTTAATGGTAATACAAAGGTCACAGGTTGTATACATCAGAAAAGAAAGATAAATAAGAAAAAGTTTTATTACATACTCGTATTGTCCCAAGTGCGGAATATTGGTGCAATCTCGAGAATGAAAAGAGGCTAAGGATGTATTCTTTGTTTCCAACGACGAAATGAAAAGAAAGAAAAATAATTGAGAAATTTATTTTCTCAAGAAAAAGAATAAAGTGATCGACACCAGAGTCCGATTCAAATCGGAGCGGGTCGGATCAGGTCATAAGAATTGGACCCATGTCAGACACTGTATAGTACAACAATATAAAATCGAATATATGTTTATGAGTAATTTTACATAAACCACCATAGTACACAAATACTATAGATGACTACTCACGTATGAATATTTCAACTAGAAAATCCTTTCTTCGATGTATGTCGGCTAGCATACACGTAAGAAATCTGAAAATTTATATGCATATATTCTATTAAGAATGTATATAGCTCAGAGGCATAGGCTAGCCGTTGTTATTTAAGGAATATTCTCACCTCTTTTTCGATCACTTTTGATTGTCGAAGATGGTACAACCAATCAAGCTGGAATTTTCGCAGATAGTGCAACAAAAATAAGAAGATACGTTGCTAGCGTCCATAGAGGTCACTCTATTACTGCTAACTGTCTTCGTTACTTGTTATTGGTTACTTTCTTCCTCCTCTCAGTTGCTCTTGTTTGTTTCCCCTATATATTCTTACCAGTGATTATTCGCCCATTGGCATCATCTTCTTTTCTCGCATCTTTCTTTTTTTATAGTGATTCAGGTTTTATTTTACTAATAAAACCTCGTCTTATTATTGTCATCAATCCTCTATCACGACGTTAATATACGGTATGCATGTTTTTTTTAAGTAAGAGTTCTCATTGACTTAGCAGATCAGGGTCTAGATTCAGTTGTCATTCGACCTACACTTTAGTGTAGACAGGAGTATTTGTCGATTTGATAGAATGAGAGTCTCACATATGTGTCCGAGAAAAACAATTTTGAAGTAGAGTTTTGCAGTTTTTCTCGGAAACTCTGGTTTTTCATAGGGTCAAATTCTGACTGCTTGCGACTCCTATCTAACTTTGTTCAATCGAACTGCTATTTTTACTACTGATACTTGAGAATATTCTCCAAAAGTAAAATCGGCCATATTCATTTTTTTGACTTTCCAAGTGGAATTTACAGGATGGTAGAAGCCAAGACCTCCATTTTGGCACCGAATTTTTACCTAATTCTCTCATAACTTTTGAAAAGCCTAAAATCACCTTTGAGATATAGTCTTGGATATCTCAAAAGAAAAAAAATATTCAGCCAGATTGGATAAAGTACCAAGATGTGGTCCTATGAAGATTAGAGTCTCTCAGAGAAAACTTCAAAAATCCACTCCAGAATTTTTTCTTTGAACATGTGTTTTCTCATTTTTGATGCTCTATCTGTGGTAAAAATTCCTGTTTGATCGGTTGTACTGTCTTTGAGAACCCGCAACGGTGACAAAAGAGGGGATGTACCTTTAAATACAAGGCGAATTATGATTGGTGATAATGAATGACATCTATTTATTCTGTGAACTTGATAACTGTGAAAGCAAAAGACTTTGCGAGTCAGCCAATTCTTCATTATTTAATGGTATGATTCAGCTATCTATGATGTTAATTTCATTGAAATTTATCAACCGCTTCTAGAATTGTGGTCATTGTATTATGACTTTTCAGGCGGTAAAAAACTATCTGCTGCTCTTTGGAGACTATGAATTAGTCATAGTTCAATGAGTCAAACTGGGAGTTTTTCGAGAAGTTTTGCCGATAGTCAATAGTTATTGTCCACAAGTCTCAAAAAAGTAACTCCTACCAAATGGAAATGACTTATCAATGATCATTGTGTTGCGATCGCTGACTTCGAGACAGTAATTTGCCTGATCTTTTGAGTAAAGAAAGAGCATAGATTCAGGTCGAGTTTCATGTTAAAATATCAAGAATTAACCATACATTTGATTACAAGTAAAGCAAAATTTAATAGATAACTTTTTCCGGTCAAAAGTCTATGTTTATCATAATTCTCGTTGTATCTTAGGTATGAAGGCGAGCTCGTGCTTCTGACCAACATTCTTGATGGAATATGCAGATACAAAGTTTTAGAATGTCAGGATGTGTGATAGTCGAAATTTGATGAAAAGGATGATTTTAGTTTACTAATTTATGTTTCTGAACATAAATTTTTACCTATTTTTCATAGTGATAAAGATTATTCCTAGGTGTTCTATTGATATTCAATTGATAAATGACTTGAACTCACTAGTAATACTTTTTTCTGCTATCACTCAAATTATATGGCTAGAAATCATGAAAAGAGAATACTTTACTGATGTTAATTTCATTCCATATGACTAACAATATATGATGCAACTGACAGATAAATAATAATAAAAATCAATATCGAAAACATTGATCCCTGATGAAAAAGATTTCACTATTTGTAGATCTTTGAGGATGACTAATGAGCAATATTGCATTTTAACCTTGTATTGCTAAACTTTTTTTAGACATCAGAAATACTATATAAGTTCATGTCTGAATTACGACAGTCGTAAGTGATTGTATAAAATGTAAATTGCAACTATATACGACCGTATTTCATCGTATTAATTGATTCCTGAATTATAATTGTAAACGATGTTGTTTCTCGCCGTGTCGACCAATGTATGCCATCATTCACACTCTTATTATTGATAGCCTTCATCGCACAATTTGATACAAGTTTCCTAAAGTGCACTTCTTTCATGGCTAGACTTGCTCTCCAACTGATATCGAAGTTGTAAAATTTTATTTTAAATTCTAATTCATAAATAAGATATTTATATTTAAATTGTTAATTTAATCTTCGAATCCAGACGTATCTAAATGCAAAAAGAACACTTATTTTCAATATTCACCTGAACTTACTATTACCATATCGAATTACCATACATATTAATGATAAAAAACCTATTTTATGCATTCAATTGAACTTACCATTAAATTGTCGGATTGTGATAAAATTAAAGAAAAAAAAATTGATTCAAGATATATATATATTTTTCCTATTTACTTTTTCGATTGAGATAAGTGTAAACAAAATAGTAATAAAACCTAAGTAACTTTCACACTGACTAATATATCTCAGATGGGCGATAAGTCTAAATATATAACGTTATTGAGAGTTTTGTCATGAGCGTTGATAATGCATAGTACATGTATGCCTATAATATAAGCTTTTTGATTAAATTTTACTTATATTTCAAATGCTATGTTCTACGAACCAAAATACAAGTTTTACATCATTTAAAACAATTATAAACAATTATGTACTAGTTAACATATTTTTCAGTTGAATGCTGCTTTAATTGATTATTAACTTTGTTATTTTTGTTGTGGTATCATGTGGACTAATCGTTTTCTTATCATTGTTTCTTGTCGACGCTCTTCGATGAGAAAATTAGTCAGTTTTCTTCGTAACAGTGATTGATAAGTAAAGCACGATTTACCAGGTGAGAGAATCAAATTTTTAAGTTTACCACTTATAGCAAGAGTTTATGAGCATAGTCAGTAGCCATCATATCAAGTAAATTTTCTTTGTTAAACATTTGAAATGAAACAGAAACATGAAAGAATGTAACTAACCTTTTATGGAATAGTTGATCGACTAAATAGAGAACAATAAAAATTTTTTATTATCACTTTATTTTAAAGATATGAAGACTATAATAGATTTTGTTCAAAATAAAAGTTTGAGACTAATTTAATTCAATTTATTTTATTCTCAGTATAAAATCTTATCATTTATTGAATCATAAAATGCTTGGAACTATATTAGTGAATTATGTAGTTGTGGAAGGTGAGCATTGAACAATTTAATAATACGAGAACCATAAATATTACTAATATTAGCATTGCGAAAAGTTTTTGCCAACTCTCGATAAAAATTGTCTGTTGATTTGTTAATATGCCGATGGAGAAATAAAAAATTTTGATTGTCATTCGATTGAAGTAAATCATTGAGTATTAGTAAATGATCTTTGTCGAAAACTGACACATCGCAATGTGCATTCATATCAGACTCGAGTTATGTTGGATTATCTTCAATTTCAAAAATATTGAAATCAGTATTATTATCTGTACTTTTATTTGCATCACTTGATTCGTCATACATCAGTTCTCTTTCACTAATAGATTCTTCTTCATTCTAAGAAATAGATCTTGCTAAACACCCATCTAAAGTTAATGTCGGACATTTCTCACTTGTTTTTTTCAATAGTGACTCGTGTTTGCTTGTTCTCAACTGGATTGTGATCATTCTTGAACTTGCTCAATAGCAGCACTAAGTTTTTAATAGATATTTTAAACAATATGGTAACTAAAATGACAAAAAATGGAACCAAACTGATCTGAATAGTATGTTTTTGGCATAAAATTGAAAAGCAATATTTATAGTACTTAATTTAAAAAAGATTGATGTTCATAATTCACATAATTATATAAGATAGAACTACTCAGTAGAGACGAATACATATGAATAGAAAAAAAAAGAAAACATCAAATCAGAATGTCTTAGAGCACAAACATTGAGAACAATTACTAGCACAGCTGTGCATACTAAATGATATATATATATATAATTATAGAAAGGCAGAAAAGATCACAAGAATTAGTGAATAGTATATTAGTTAGATTCTGAGTGCAAAAAGAAAAATGATATAACAACAATAGAAAACAAAAAATAATTTCTTGTATGTTCAAAACATTTCAGAATAAATTCTAGAAGTATAATTCAACTACATATCATTCAAATTTACTGTAATTTCTTTTTATTCTTTTATTTTTGGTTGTCGAACGTTTTCTATTTGTCATTCATTGTACAATTTAATATTACACCCATACTAAGAGACCATATGTTGAATGATGTCAAGTTCTCTATAAATGTACAGAGAAATCATAAAGCACAACAAAATTCCCTGAAGCTTATTTCTGTGATAATCACAATTTTCCCTATAATAGAAGTAAATAACAAAACTACAATCATACACGGCAGTCGTTTATGACTAATGTCTAGTACAATAGTTGTAAGCGACTGTCGTATAAGATCGCATTGCGTCGTTTACGATTGTTGGTTACGATGGATATGTAGGGCAATCATTTATCTGTCGTATACGATCGTAGGTTTTCGACCTGAGAAAAAATATAAATATTTTATTGCACATACTTTTGGTTATAAACGAACTCTCAAGTTGAGAATGAATCAAAAATGGCACACATAAATGATTCATGAGTTAACAATCATGAACAATTCTTTTTTGTTTACTAATACATATATTAGAGGATATAAAAGACAGAAATCATTGTGAGATTCTGAATTTAACTAGACTTATTATTCAATTGATATATTCAAAATAACGATTAGGTAAATATTTGTGAGTTCTTGATAATTCATTTCATTTAACTCAAAAATATCTTATAAATGTATGCAGTATATGTTATATACAAAATTCTTTTTTTTTTACATGAAATTCTTTCGTTTGATAACGATAAAATAGAGAGACCCTTCATATTTTTTCGTTGCAACTTCCATTAC